TTTTATGCCACAAGTTAGGATTCCTAATTTTGTCCCTCTATGGATTTCCAGGAACTCTATAGTGTTAGGATTGACATTTGTATCTTTGATCCATTTTGAGTTAATTTTTATATATGATATAAGGTATGGCTCCTGTTTGATTTTTCTACAAATGGATATCCTGTTTGGCCAGCACCATTTGTTAAAGGAACTATCTCTTTCCCCACTGAATGGACAGTGACCCTTTGTCCATAGCTGCATGTATTTAGTTCTGGTCCTCAATTTTGTTCCCTTAGTCTGTGTCTACTGTGCTAGTGTAAGGTTGTTTTAACTACTGGGGCTATAGGATAGGTTCTGAGACTTTCCTACTTTGTTATTGTTCTTCAATAATACTTTAGTTGTTTGGGTCCTCTTTCCTTTCTATACAGTGTTTGAGATTAGTTTTTCCATTTTGTAGGGGAGGCTCGGTGGCTCGTTGTGCGAACATTGGGCTGATAACCAAAACATTAGCTGTTCAAATCCACCAGCCACTTCGTAGGAGGAAGATGTTGATGCCAGGGGCTTGGATGGAGAACAAATGTTTTGAGAATGATGAGGGCAATGAATGTACAAATGTGCTTTACACAATTGATGTATGTATGGATTGTGATAAGAGTTGTATGAGCCCTAATAAAACGATTTAAAAAAATATTGACAGAGCTTTGGACGTGCTATGGAACAGTTCTGCTATGTCCGATGAGGCTGCTATGAATTAGAATCAACTGGACAATAATGGGTTTGGTTTTTGGTATTTATTAAAGAACATGTTTTTGGAATTTAGATTGGGGTTGCATTTTATCTCTAAATTGCTTTGGGTAGTATTGACATTTTCGCAGTGTTAAGTCTTCAATCTATGAGCATGGATGTTTTTCCATTTGTGTAGGTCTCTGTTGGGTTCTTGCAGTAGTGGTTTATACATTTCCTTATTTAAGATGCTTACATCCTTGGTTAGATTTATTCCTAGGTATTCCTAGGTCCTTTCTGGAGCTGCTGTACATGGTATTGTTTTATTGGTTTCCTTTTAGGAGTTCTCCTTGTTAATGCAGGGGAGTCCAGCTGCTTTTTGTATGTTGATTTTGTACCCAACCATTTTGCTGAACCTTTCCATTATTTCCAGTAATTTTCTTGTGGAATCACTGGGGTCTTCTATGTATGAGATCATGATTCTTTTCATTTATTTTATTTAGCTGCTGAATTACATCGATTACTTTTCAAATGTGAACACCCCTTGAATCCCTGGTATGAATTCCACCTGATCACGATGTATTATTAAACAAAATGAGCTATTGAATTATTTTGGCTAGAATTTTGTTGGGAATTTTTGTGCCTCTATGCATGCATGAAAGATACTTGTTTTTAATTTTCCTCTTTGGGGTGATTTTGGTGTCAGGGCTATCCTGCCTTCTTACAGTTAACGAGGAAGCAGTTCTTCCTTTACTGTGCTCTGGAATACTTGGCGTTGAACTGCTGGTGTTCACTCTTCTCTGAAGATTTGCTAAAACTCTCAGTGAAGTCGTCTGTGCCAGTGCTTTTTGGAGTTTCCAACAATTGCATCCTTAATATCTATTTTAGTTATGGACCCATTTAGGTGTGTGGGGTGTGTGTGTGTGTGTGTGTGTGTGTGTGTGTGCCTGTCCCAGGACAGCAGTTTCATATTCAGCAACTCGTACACATTTTGCTCCATCTCATTCGTTGCAGCCCCCTCCATGCAATACCATGCATCCCACCTCGCCTCCCTGCCTTTCCTCTTTCTCTCCCAACTCTTCTGAACTTTGCCCTTGAGAAACTACTATGGCTTTGGACTCAAACGGTGGATTATTCTAAGGTGTGCATACCGCACTAGTGTTCTTGCTCCCCTTAGAGACCTGTGTATTGTTTGGCTGAAAATTAAGCCATGCATGTGTGAACTCAGGTCTAGACCTGAAGGATGACTCAGGGCCATAATCTTAGGGTTCCACCAATCTCTGTCAAACCATAGTCCTCAGCTACTTTAGGATTTTTGAGTTTTGTCCCACCACCTTCTCCTCCTCTATCCAGGCCTTCTAATGTGGCCTCTTTCAGAACAGCTGGCGTGGTGAACCGGCACCATCTAGTTGTTCTGCTCTGGGGGTGGTAGAGACTGACCTTTTTGTGGTTCGTTAGTTCATGGACCGATTGCTTCCATGTCTTTGATTTTCTTCACTCGCCTTTCCTCCAGATGCAGAGCGATTGATAGTTTTACCTTGGATGACTATTCAAAAGCTTTTACAAACCCAGTTGCTACTCATCCGAGTAGGACTGAGAACATTGTCTTTGTGGACCATGCTATGCCAGTTGACCTTGCCAAGAGGTCATGGTTTTAAGCCCCAAGGTCTGCCGAAATAGTCATTACTTCCAGTAACAAAAGATTTATTTTGAAAGTGGAGTGGAGCTGGTGTAAGTAAAATTTAGTAAAACGAGGATCATAAAACTGCAAAATTATTTGTAAGGGAACCCTGACATTAATTATCACAAGATAAGTAAGGTAGATTTAGAAGCAGACCCTGAATATCCCAAAAGATTAGGAAGCTATCTTTTTCATTATATTTCTAGTATTTGACATTGAAGCATATGTATGTACACATTTAACTATATATTTAAACATATATATAATAAACTATTTAACTTTTTACAGATTTGTGTGTGTATATATGTATATATATTTAACAAGTTCTTTTTAATATCATCCTGATTGATGATTACTTTGCCTACGTCTTTGAAGTGACACTGTAAAAATTCATTGTGTTCCTAAATTTTTACATTAAGAACGAGATTAAAGTCATGCATATGCTTGAAGAAAAAAATGAAATTATATTTGATAATCTTTTAATTTTATTTTGAAATGGTAAATCTGAATTAAAATTTAAATGTATCATGATGATTGATGTATTATTAAGCATTTTCTGAAAGTGTGTTCATTTTTAAGTTCTTCAACATCCTTTGAGACTAAAAGGGGCTCTATCTGTTTCTACGTCCCTGTCTGAGCATCTCATAGCACTTCATTATGAAATGTTCACATTCGCGTATTAAGGTGTAAGAAATTCTGCAGTAAAGAAATGTCTTTGACTCTGTCATCCACCTAGTTCACACACGTGACCACACAAAGTTCCTTATTTTAATAGGAGCTATTGTTTTGCAGTTCACATTTAGGACAGCTCTCTGCTAAGTAATTAAAAATATAATTAGAATTTAAAGCCATCTCCTTTTCATTACTGTTTCTGGTTACAGGTAATTTGAAGCTGCTGGGAGATAGTTGGGTACTATTAAGCCTGTCTTAAAACTACTTATAAACTGATAAAAAATACTTTTTAGGCCCTGATCTGAGTCAAGACATCTAAGAAGCTGAAAGAAACATTTGCTATTTTGCCTGAACTAGATCATGCTCCTAGTACATTCAAAAAAGCTTTCAGAAATTCAGTGAAGAAACCACACCACCTCCTACGTGATATTAACATCAATAGCTTGTTGCACTAAGCTGTTTCACCTGCCCTTTCTAAGCCAGTTGCTGCCACATCGGTCTTATCCAAGTATACCTGTTGCTTACTCCCCGGTTGGTGTAACTTGTGGCAGGTGAGGTGACAAAAACGCAAACATACCCCACAATAAGCACAAGGGCATCATTGAGAGAGTCGGTCATCTCTTCTTTGCCCCTCTTTATAAATGTTCACATGTCTGATCCCTGAAACTAAGAAAATCTGATACAAACCAAGGCAAACTTACCATACCGAGAAACTACCAGGCGATTGCTTTGTGTCACTTGGGATAATTACCTGCTTTAGAAAGAGCTTCATTACAGGGCTTGCCTCAATATGGCTGCTTCCCTTGTGCCTACAAAGGACTAGTAAACTTTGAAAATTGCATCTCTGTCTAATTTGTTAGGAGCAGATTTACTGCAGAATGTCAGGCACATGTATATTTCCCTTAGATTTTATTATCCATCGTCACATTTTATGCTTTACCGATTTTTATCACCAATCAATTCTTTTTTATGGTTTATGTCTATTGGCTAAAATTAAACCTGTCCCTTTGGATGGGCAATAAATTCCAACCCACCTTATAGTTAGCAGGGGACTGTTCTAACCATGTGCCAAAAGGGCTCATCCAACCTGTGCAGATCTGTCTTCAGTCTTTTGTGATGCTACTTTTCACAAGCAAATGTCTTCTTATTGCAAGCACCCGAGGGTGGGGGGTGGCATACATCCCACTCCCTGTCCCATTACTCCCCAGGGATTAGTCCAGTGCTGCTTGGTAGAGCCGCTTCTCGGTCACCTCTGTTGACGGTCATGATATTGAGTCAGAATGCACGCTCATGGACTGAAGGATGCACAGAAACTAAACCAGTCAGAGATGCCCTTGTAAATGCCCATGTAAATGTCAGCAGGAGACTCGTGAAGGAGGGGGGAGGCCCCTCATTTTTAGTGCTTCCGATTTCTGTGGAGCAAATACTCCCCCCGTGGCTGATTCCTCGCTCTCCATAGGACCTCAGCTGGCTCACAGAGTTTCAAAACCATTTGTCAGTTGCTCTCCCAAGCTGATGTGAGTCAGCTCCAGCCCCTCATTGTAGGCTGTCTGTGAGAGTGAATTTGAAAACTCACCAAGGATCAAGAGCGAATAATTGATAATATTACTAAATCCAGTCCTGGGACCATAGAAAATATGCCAACCACCTGCCTACTGATAGTAGAGTAAGTGAGCTGTAATCACTTGTGAAGAATACCTCTACTTCTAGAAAGTGAGAATCCCCCTTCCTATCCCCTGGCCCCGCTTCCACACTGACACCGTTTATCACCATCACCACCACCTCACTCACAGGGGGAGAGCATTGCCTTACATGACTTCCAAAAAAAAAAAGTCAGAGTAAACAGTATATAGCCTATGGCCTGTGGCTCTCAACTATTTGAGCAGTTTCCACGTTACATTAGGGATTCTTTCCTCCTGACGGTGACCCTTGATTTATTGTGCAGGTTGAAGGGGACCAGCTGCCTCCAGGGCACACAGTCAGTCAGTATGAGACCTGTAAGATCAGGACCATAAAAGCCGGCACCTTGGAGAAGCTGGTGGAGAACCTGCTGACGGCTTTTGGGGACAATGACTTCACCTATATCAGCATCTTCCTGTCGACATACAGAGGTTTTGCCTCCACTAAAGAAGTCCTGGAACTGCTACTGGACAGGTAAGCATCTGAAGTTGCTGAGCGTTGCAGTGATGCAGGGTGGCTTGCTGAGTGAGACACGAGGCATGGAAGCCCCCTCAGTTGGCATGCGGAGCGGGGTGTCGGGGGCTGCGTTAGCCAGGAGAAGAGAAAACACTGCTGGAACAAATGGCATGGACATTAGTCTGGAGACTTTTCAGGCCTAATTCTGGGGGGTGGGAGTGGGGTGTGGGAGAAGAAATCTCATAAAAACCTAAGTGTTCGGAGGAGATGTCATAAAGCTAGATTAATTTGTTTATGGATTTCAGTTACTATTTGCCACCTTCACTTTTTTCTCCACATTTTTATGGTTTTGTATAATTCCAGTAAAGAATCAATTGGCCAGGAATCCTACAGGGTTGTTGTGAGGATTCAATGTGGAAATATGTCTGAAATACAGGGCTTGGTCTTAGGTCTGTAGGAAGCTGCTCGTGGTCGGTGGCCCTGAGAATGAGGAGGAGGAGGATGATACATGTTAACAGTCCCCATGTGTTGGTGCTTGGGGAGTGTGCATAGACATGACCCTTGGCCCATGTTGTGTCACGTGCTTCAGACTGTAGGGCAGTGGACACTGTAATCCGCATCTGAATGATCTTTAGAGCTCCTCTCTTATTTTTGTTTTATTTATAATTATAGCTTGTCTCTTAAAAATCTATTGTTGAATTGGCTTGTCGTTGGGAGGAAGAAAACTGTCAGCCAAACAATTGTTTCAGCATCACGCAAATTCTCATCCAAATCCTTATATTCTGTGGTTTCCTGCATAAGGAAGGAAATGAGATAGGGTGTTTTGGCTGGGGGGTCATTGTGGTTGTTGAATATTGAGTTTTGTCAACTAGATTTTCCATTTTAAAAGTAGTACACACTCCTGTTAAGAAAAATTCTTATGTTGTAGAAGGGCATAAATAGAAATGTTAACGTTTTCTCCATGCTCCTTCTTTCCCCTTCAAATATCATTGATGACATTTCTAACCAAGAAATGTATCAATAGTAACCCGGGTATTCACATGGCCAACCCCACTATGAGACGAGATGCTCCTCACTGGCCCATGGCCCTGCGGGGGACAACACCAGGAACACAGTGTGGGAATTGCGCCTGATCTGACCC